AGGAAACTGTTCGGTGTTGGTGATAAGTGATTTTGGGTTCATTTTTTTCTGTCTTATAAGTTTCTCCTAGAGTCAAACTGGTTGGAGCGGTTAAAATTGCCCTGGCTGATGGCTCTTGGGGCAGTGGAAATGGGTCCATGTATGGAAACAGGTTTCAAACCCACACGGGAGAACACTGCTGTAGGTGAAAAGATGGCACCAGATTTTTAAAGCGTGAGGTAACCCTTTAAGCAGTTGGGTTTTGTCCTTCATTTTAGGGTGGGTTTTTTCTTCCTCCTCCTCATTCCACCGAAGCTGGTGTGTCCCCTGGCCTGCCAGTTACCGAGGGCAGGACAGCGTTGTCCCCCCAGCGCGCTGTTGGGCAGAGCTACATCAGTCACCCTCCCCTGAGGAGCTCCGGCTGCTCTCCCCCTGCTTTCTGCAGGCTCGGGACACACGGGTAAGGATTAACCCTGGAGCCCACTTTACCCTTGGGTTCATGACGGCTTTTCTCCAGGGGGCTTGAGCGTGACCGCAGCCCTCGGAGCGATCCAGCTCAGAGTAAAGGGGCACCTGGAACAGTCGGGGCTTTGCCATGAGACACCCCCGAGCTGCCACGCGCAGGAAGGGGACGCGTGAGTGTAATACCCCGGGGACAGCAGCTGCTGGAGCAGCAGTGGGGTGGCAGAGGCCAAACCAGATGTTATTGCTCCTCGTCTTTGATCAGAAGGCCTGTCCAGCCTCACCTTTCGCCATCAGTGTGTAAAGCTTCCTTCCTTCCCCTCAGACCATCCCTCGGGCTCCTGCTGACTGGCCGTGTGTTAAGCTTTGCTTTTTCTGCGTGGCTTTCCCCCACCCCTGATGCCAGCCTTGCTAAAGCCACACTCGCTGCCTCAACATCCTCCTCTCTGGCCTCAACCTCGGTATCAGCTACCGTCCAACCCTGCCAGGACAGCCATTTTCCCACTCTGCTTTCATTTCTACCACATTTCGCGTCTCCTGCCATTCTCCTCCTCTGCATTGCATTAAGCACAAGCTGTGAGCTTGTCATCTCCATCGTTTCCCATCCCACAGCACTGACCTGTGGGCTCTTGACTCTGCTGTGGCCAGAGATAGCAACAGTAGTTGCTGATTTGTTGAAATTTTTTGACTGATGCCTTAATGCTTTCAGGTGCGTGGGCACACCTTCCTCTTAACATGCACAAAATTATTGTCTTCAGTCTTCAACTCAGACCTCTCCTTTTAGGCCACACCGGTAACCGACAAGGATCAGGCAGATAGTACGGGGTAGCCACTGCCTATCTGATGGCTAATACCATTTCACTGGGATTTTTGTGCTTTCTCACCCCCTTTGTATCATCTACCTTTCGCTTTTTGTCAGACTTCAAGCTTTTTGGAACAGAATCACTTTCCTGAAGAAGAAATTGTAACGCACCCGTGTAACGGCTGGGGTGTCACTGAGCCTCCTCTGCTTTAGCAGGAGGTTGGTGGCTGGAAACCAGAGGAACGTTCTGGTTCTGCACAAGTCCAGGCTGGCAGCGAGGACGATGGGCTCTCCTGCAGAAAGGCAGGGCATGGCCCAGCTCCAGCACCTTGGCACAGACTGGAAAAAAAACTACTACCCGTGTGGAACATTTCAGTAATTGTTCACTTCTATGACACTACAGCTAATACAGTGCTACTTAATGACAGTAATTAGTATTAGTGACTTTCATTTTCACTCAGCTGATAAACTTACATGGTACAAAGCCAGTGTAGGAAGGTATCAGTCCAGCACTGGTGTAAATTCTGTTGGCAGGCCAGTATGTTTGGGGAAATCTCTTGCCAAAGCTGCAAGCTGGGTTCCTCTGCAAAAACTGGAAAATAAAATAAAAAAAAAACCAACCACCACACAGTACAGTTAGTTTTAAAACATATTTTTACCAAAGTCACGCTGCATTAAAGAAGATATTTAAGCCAATGTAAAGCAATTATCTTTCCAGTTCTGTTTTCTTCTATCCCATTAGGAGCTACACCACATCTTCCTTTTTTCCACCCTGTAAGCTTTGCTCCCGCCAGGCGCTGGCAGGGGCCCTCGCCCGCGCTACCTCCGCTATCCCGTGCCCGCAGGTGCGCAGAGCAGCTCCTGGCCTAGGTGTTGTCTTCAGGATCTCTGCAGACTGGACTGCGGTCGCCGCCTTTGGGCATCGTCCGCAAGTCCCGAACGCCTTGTGCTCCTCGAGTTGACAGGCTGTGAGCCAGCAGCGTCTGCTGGAGCTGGGTATGTGCCTGGTCTGCTCCTGTGCTGTGACGGCACATCTGGGGTTTGGGTTGACCCCTTCAACTGGGTCTGGTTTTCCACGACAGTGATTAGCCAGTAATTTCCAAGCGAGGAGGAACAGGAAAGCTTAGGGAGCGTTAACTGAAGGGAGAGTGTAAATCATCTCCTGGACCTGCCCCTGCCCTCCGAGGTCGGGCCCAGACAAGGGGCTGTGCTGGTGGGTGGATCTCACGGCTCTGCACGCCCCTGCAGCAGCAAACCCCCTAACGGTGTCACAAAAGCTGCGCCGCCCTCCTCGGCGCGCACCCTGCTCGGTGGTTCATGGAGCCGAGCAAACCGCGGGGCCACCAAACCCTTTTGTGCCCGATGATGGAGCAATGGCTGCAACTCCTCAAGCGCAGCGCTGAAGCGAGAGGATTGCATTATTTTGCCTGATGCTGACAGTAAGCAATGATCCATGGCACATCCCAGTATGTAACCTAGGGCAACAGAGATTTAGGGCAGAAGATTAGTGGCTTGAAGTCAGAAGCCATCTTAGATAGAAACGTGGTGTGGGTTGTTTTTTTTTTTTTCAGCACGCTTGTGTTCCTCCAGCGCCTGTTGTGCTGCACCTCTGCGAGACTGGATGCTGCTGAATCCTGTGATGGAGAAACGCCTCCCTTGCTGATTTGCTACATGGCAGGCGCTTCTTAAGAAATCAGGGGCAGAAAGGCTCTGCAAACAGCACATTTCATTTTGATAATGCCTGGGTTTCATTCTGTCTGCTTCCTTGCAATTCCTATTAACAGCAGAAGGAAAGGGTAAGGGAGCCAGCACAGGGAAATCCATCGCAGCCGAAGCACCAGGCTGCCACGAGCGCTGTCAACCCTGCTGCTCTCCCCGCTGAGTCATCTCTTCCCAGCTGAGTTTCTGTGAGCTGGGGATCCTCGGTCTTGGACTTTTTTCGACATCAGACCCATACACTCTGGATGAAGGCACTGAGGTGAATCCCTGTGACCAGAAAGGGCTAGAACTGTTGTGAGCTGTGTCACTGAGCTCATCGGCCCTCGCCAGCGCTGGATCAGCAAGACAGCTGCATCCCAGGGATCTCACTCCATCCTGATAGCAGGAAGAAATGCGTAGCTTTGAAAGCAAACTATTCATTTCTGTGGGAGGGATCTCATTTTCCCATGTAGGAGGATTATATCGGAGATCTTACAGCAAAGGGACAAAACAATTTTTTCAGTAGTGATATTTCTGCATCCTTCCCAAAAGCAGGAGAAAGAAAGCCTAGATCCCTCTAAGACAAATTATGTTAGTAAAGGGAAAAGCCTTCCAACCAAGTAAAAGGGAGAAACATCCACCCAAGCAGCCCAGGAAGCCGTCCAGCACTGCCATCCAGGCAGAGCAGATCTAATGCATAAGGGAAGCGCAGATAGTTGTATCCTGTGTTTCTGTACTCAGAGCAAGATTTTTAATAGCCACCCTTGACCCAGCCCTCAGTAGATTTGCTTAATCCTTTTATGAACTCATTTGTCCTCCCTTAATATCCCAAGGAAACAAGTTACAGAATTTAATCGCTCTTGATTTTTTCAACATGTTACCTAAGAGCATTTTATTTTGTTTGTACTTGTAACCCCAGCTCTAACACAGCTACTGTAAATGAAACCACTTTTGGTGTTGCAGATGAATCAACACCAACATTATATTGTTGAAATAAGATTTGTGCACATAATCTACCTGATATTGGTCAAACTCATTCATTGCTTCCTTCACACCCTGGCTATAGTTCACGCCATTAATCCAGGTGAGGCGGGGGATGAATCCAGTGTACCCTTCGGATGAACACAAGAGAGAACATATATATCATATAAGGATCAACCAGTCTGGAAGTGGAAAAGACTGGGATAAATACAAAACCTTGGCAGATCATAGGAAGGAAAAGTTCATCCATTTAAATTGTAAAATTAACTCTTACGTGTGAAGTATCTTCTGAAAGAGTCTTTTTTATGACTCCCAAGGAAAAATCAGTGAGCTGAACTGATCTTTGTTGGTCTCCATGAGGTACTGAAGAGACGTTTCATTCTCTTCCACTCTTTTCTTTACACCAACAGCTCTGCCGTTCTCTTTCCCAGTTTAATACACGTTCAGGGGCTAACACCCAGGTGTCCAACCATTATTCCTCACTTGTCCTGCCCATCCAACAAGTTTTCACCAATTGTAAGACAAAAACTATATGAAGTCTAAAAGTACATAAAACAGTGACAGAGGTACAACCTAAAAGCAGCCAGAACTCCCTCTTCCCAAAGGGATGCTTTGGAGAGAGCGAAATTTGTCTTCTGCATAGAACACCGATGCTCTTTCACTGAGTCTGAAATATTTGGACATGGAACTCCTGTGTTCTCTGTGGTTCGCTGCAGAGCAAAGCATCCCTCCTGCTGGTGTCATACCCTTTAGGGGGAGTTCAGTGCATTGCCCTTTGCAACTCTCCTGCTTGCAGAGGAACACTCTTCCCGTGCAAGTGGAGAAGTTACAGAGTGTAACTCCTTGTAAGACAGAGGTTTATACATTTATGATGGCGCAATACACCACTGTGTGCTGATTTGAGGATCCAGAAAAGCAACTTATTTCTAGAAAAGAAATAACTACCCCAACAGCAACAGATACTCATCAAGGTGCTGGAGTTGATGCAGAGCCCGTGACCCATCTCTCTGTGCTTTCTGGAGCATTTTCTAGCCCGGCCCCACCGCTGTGGGGAACTGAGGTGGCTCCTGCATCCCTTCTACCTGCCCATGGGCACATCTCCCTCAGCGTGAGAGCCACAGGGGTGACAGCTTCCCAAACACACGCCCTTGCATGGAGAGGAGCAGGGGCACTTTCCAACCCAAAGTGTTGAAAGGGGCTGGAGCGACTGGCCAATGTCTCTGAGATTTTCCCAGGAGGAGAAAGGTAACAGGATTTCTTCTGAGGTGGACTCATGCTGGCCTGACCTCTCTCCTTTTTACCTGGAATGACTTTCTGTTGGATCGCATTTGGTACCTCCAGTTTTGGTAACAGATTATCCTGCTCCACATCTCCGGTTTGAGCCACTCCTGGCACAGTCACACCTTCAATTTTTACAGGCTCGAAATGAAAGCAGAAATAAAACAAACATCAGTAAAATCTGCTTCTTCCTTTGGCTCCGTTGCTTAAATCACTGCCAGAACCTGTGAATGGCAATTGCCATTTCCATTTCTTCCCAGCTTTACACCAAGAGCTACTCCAAGAATTTCTGGTAAAGTCAAATTACTCGATGAGCTCCCTGTACGCAAAGGTTTTGCAAAATCCCCGGGGAGAACAAGGGGAGCTTTGGGCACTGAGCTCCTTTG